ATAAAATGGCTCTGTCCGTGTTAAAATATATTTTTAAAAATTTACAAAACTAAACAGCCTACAGTATTTTTACAGTCTTTATTTTACAGTTAAAACAGATGTTTATCAAATAAAGTCTAATGTTACAATTAATCGGGGATCCTTTTAAAACTGACACCTACCAAGGAAGCTGCGGTTGTGTCCAGAAGGAAAAGAGTTTCCAAGCATGACCACCGAGGGATCTATGATGATTTCCTGACTTTGGCCGGGCGAGGCTGTGACCTCCCGACGTCCCCCACCTCCGTCCAGCCTCAGGGTAAATTCTCTTCCGTAGCGATCCAGCTCCACCTCATGCCACTCCCCGTCATCAAGACGCTGGTAGGGCAGCGTGACGTTGTAGTCGCCATCTCCAAGGTTGTAGAAAACCGCCAGCAGGCCCTGAACAACCTGAGATGGAGACACCGGTAATGTGAAAATCTTATTCAAAAGGAAGAAGAAAACAGATTTTTATATTCAGGGTTTCGACTCCACGTTTGAGGCACTGTAACTCTACTTTGGGGAACTTCTGTGCTGATGTGAAACAAGATGTTCGGTTTTGTCAGCTGCTGCAGCAGGACTTTTCCCTAAGTGGAGATTTCAAGGCTCGTGGAAGGAAAAAAAAAATCACAAACTAGGGTGACACAAATCCTAGCAGAATGACAGTCTGACAGAGCTGAATTTCTGCCACATAGTGCTGTGTTGATTGGCAAAAAACAGCTCTTGAGCATAACAACATTACAGGAAGTAGGCCAGCTCCCAAGGTGAGGAGAAGGCAGCTAAGGTTGAACAAGGCAGAAACTGCGAAATTTAAGCACCCCAGACATGACTTTCTGTGATGAACCCGACTTCAAAAATAATGACCAAAAATTTCTCCGGTAAAAATTAATTCAGCAATTCTGCAGCAGAAACGCGGCGCCGAGGTGCTACACACATTAATTTGTGGCACAGTCATCCCGTAGGCAAGGTGTACATGAGACAATAATTATCTTTAACAGTTAAGGCTGAGCGAACACAATGGACTCAACCATCGTGAGGCTCCCATAACTGCAGCTTGTACATGTCCAAGGCCTAATTGGAAACAGTGGAGCTAGATAATTCACACTCAGCCCAGCTTGCATTAACTATTGCTCCCTCAGCATGAGCATCTCAGATGTGCAGTTTATGCTGGACACACACTAACATGCACACACACACAAAGTAAAAGCAGAACATGCTTACTCTTTACTGCTTAGTCTCGCCTCCAGTGTACAACAAAATGCAAACAGGACTTCATCAATATTTAGGTCAAACTTTATTATATAAACTTTATTTTTGCACCATCAGATATGTGAACAATTAACACTTGAAAAAATTTCACCTTTCAATTGTTGTAGTCGTAACGGTCAAACATTAATAATACAGTTATGCAGAATCTCATGCAGAGTTGTACAGTAACTAAGTACAAATACTTTGTTACTGTACTTAAGTAGAAACTTTGGTTATCTGTGCTTTACTTGAGTAATTATTTTTCAGC